GGTTATTTTTTATCTTATTCCTTAAACCGTTTAATAAATTGTGAACTGTTGCTCAGGATGGCGACAGACTAATTTATGATTGGCGCGCATTCCAAGCATCTCTTCCTAAATATTTTCTCGGCTGAAAACGCAGAGGTATGTTTGACCACAAATTTGTTCTTATTCTGAGTAACCATGTCCCCAGTTGAAATTCCATTTTATTGCTTTCATTTCTATTATAAATTTTTACGTATTAAGAGCTGACCTACATGTAGCTTTTCATTTCAACATGGCCGACCCAAGAATAGAGTCTACTGTTATGTCATTTTGAACACGCAGTCATGAGCTGGAACATGACCCAGACAGTAGATAAAGAATGGCATGTGTGCCGACATCCTTAACCAAGCCCAAATACAGGCCAAGTCCCTCCAATAGGCAGAATGGCCCCGGCATGTCACTGTGTTGATGACCTCGGAAGTAGGCCTCACAGGGGCAAGATCGGAGGACGACGAAGGATTGATGAAACATCCAGCACAGTGGCTGTGATAGTGACAACCATACATGTACAGTTGAACCTTGTTAATAAGCGCACCGTTTAGGTTCTGCATATAACAGAGAAATTTCTAGGTCCCAATCCTTTGTTTTTCATTGTTTTTAATCCTGTTAATACCAGGTCCCTGTTATAACAAGGTAATTTGCCAAGTCTGAAGGACCTCTTATTAACGAGGTTTGACTGTATTATTCTTAAAAGTTTAGGGCTTTCCAAACGCTTATGTAACAAGGAAATATGGAAGGGCTGCATAGCATCGTGATCAGAATATCGACAAGAATATAAGATTAAATCAGTACTCTGAAACATATGATTGCCAAGCTTTCGGTAACTGGGTACCTTCTTCAGGGCAAGCAGAACTGAATCTGCTTGCCCTGAAGAAGGTACTCAGTTACCAAAAGCTCGGCTTATGTAACAATGCCAGTTGACATATGTAAGATTTCTCCAAAACGGCTGTGACTGTGATAATCTTGCACCAGCTTTTTTTATACCAAGGGCAAAAGAGTAGCAAACCTGAATGATTGAACTTCTATAGATCCTGAAATTTGGGGTCGTATCAGGTGAATCCTGAATCCAAAACAATCCTAAGAAGTCATATCCCTGATTCCGTAGGGGACTGTAAGACTGACTAGGACTATAGTCAGCTGCCTTTTTAACAATGCGAACGTGCAATTCAATACACACTCGAACGACCCGGGTTGGCATACTGTTTTAAACATCTCATCATTATTCACATTTTATCATTGGCTGCGATTCTTGCAGATAACGTGGTCATTGAAATCTCGCACATGTGAATGGTTCCCTCTGTAATGATAAATGAAAGGGGTTATTGTACAGCCAGCGGCGCGACCATGCAGGGGGCCTGGTCTGAAGTGAGTGACTAGAATAGTCTAAATTGCCTACAGTCTGGGTGGTGTTGGTCAAACTATGGTTAACTACAGTTGTCGCTTTAACTTGGCCATAGTATACCACGTGAATGAGAACTTCAGTATAAATAATTCTGGGGTTGCGGGCTTGTTCTTAAACATGTTAAAGAGTTTCAAATAAATATGGCAGCATCCCAATCGAACGCAGTGTCATTTGTCTTCAGAGCTCACCCATAACGTGCTAAAATGGTTTTTTTTTCTGTTCATGCCAAGATGCAAATTTTGAACGTATCCTCGGGCTGGTTCCCGCTATCAATTAGGTGGATTCTGATGTCAGTGCACCAAGGACAGACCACTGATCGCGATACACGTGAAACAAACAGGCCCTGAAGATTTTTTTTACTAAACTATCACTAAGCAACGCGCAGAATTTCTCATGCATTCAGTGAAGACGAAAAGTGGAAACTATCCAATTAGACCAGTGGCTTACTGCCGGAGCATTACAACCCACGTCTACCTGTAACCACCAGTATATGTGATGACGATGGCTGGTTCCTTGAATCCGAGAATCAATGGGATGGAAGTCGCTGGCACACCTTCAGGTGACTATGGAGGCTGATCCTAGAGCGGCACGCTCTGGAACACCTCGGGCACGGGAATGCTTGGGTAATGGGGCTCTGGGCAGTCAGTGCCCTCCTGCGTCTAAACTGATCCTCTGCAGCTTCTTTCTTGGTATATTCAAAAGCCTTGGCCCCTCCCCAGTATATGTACTTGTATATAAATTACTCCAACATGCAGACTCACTGCCTGCTCCTGGCTGTTTATCTTTTGAAGTCCAAAGGACAATAGAAAGGACCGGGAACCACCCTATGAGGTCAGGTCTCCTGTCTACCCTCTTTCCAACAGACACTTACCTCCACAATCTCAGCATCACTGCTGTCCTCAACGGTGGTGTCCTGCGTAGGCGCCACTTCCTCCTTCAGGGAACCAGACCGCGACCTTGACCTTGACTTTGGCCGCTTGGATGGCCCCTGAGCTGTTTCTCCACTGGATGTGCACAAAACAGACCACCCAAAGGAACAAAAAAAAAAGAAAAGCAGATTGTCAAAGCCAGTTACTACAACTTATATATATATTCATATAGTTATATATTCACACTGTATTCTCAGTATGGTCCAACAGTTGCAAAAAATCAAGAACTTGCTCCAGTTGGATTCGAACCCATGACTTCCTGCTGACTAGTGCGAGCAGCACCCTCTGCTGGATTGAACTCAAGCTAGCCAATTCAATCCCAGCTAACTCGGTAATCGAGTCATTAAGAGAGTTTGAATCCCACCCAAGCAAGCTGTGACATTTTTTGCAACTCCGCGACCACACTGAGAACACACTGGGAATACACGTCGGTGTATCGAGGGCTAAACCTAGTATCAAAAGTCACAAACTGAGTTACAGCCTTGCGTGGTCACAAGGATAGCCACGGAACAGTTTAGTGGTAGTAAAAATCTTCCCTATTGAAAACACAACATCCAACTTGCAGTTACACAATGTTAAGTGATTTGCCAAACTAAACAAGGTGTGCTAAAGTATATATTGGCCTTCACACTTCACAGTATCCAAGTGATGCTGTCACGCCCCAACTATGACATCATTCTGAACCAAAGTTGGGACAGTCCCAACTGTGGCAATAGGCCTTTTGCAAGTTGAATTTAAATAAAATCTGGTACACTGAGTTATCTGATTGCACAAAAAAAATAACAATTTGAATTCCCCAGACTAAAGACACTGTTGCTATACCTTGTGATTTGTGGCAAACTTTTGCATAGCGACCACCATCTCTGGGATGGACTGGTTCCTTTGTGCCCTTCTTATCCATTGAAAACAGTGTATATTAGTGCAAGGCGTCTCTTATGTAAGCAAAAGGGTGCCCCGAATCACTAGGTATAGCAACAGTGTCTTCAGTGTGGTGAATTCAAATGGTTATGTTCACGTGAAATTAAAGAACTCGGTGTACCAGATTTTATTCAAATTTAACTTGCATAAGGCTTACTGAAAGACCACTTGGCTCTTTAAATAAAACCTTGCATAAATACAGTCATTTGCAAAAGTTTAAGACCACCTGGAATTTGATTGGTATTTCTGTCACTGGGCCTGCATTACACTGTCTCACTGAATGATTACTTAACATGATTTTACAGTAGTGCATAACATCAGTGTAGTGCTATACCAATTTCAATGACATTTTTTGCAAAAGCAGGTCTTGTATGACATTTTGTCCATAAGGCAGCTTGGGGAAAAAAAGCCAGTCTAAGCAATCAGAAATAAAGGAGGGAACACTGAATATTGGACTGTTAACATGTCAAATCATGGAAATGTAGTACACATTGAAAATAAACATAAGTTGCCATGATTGATTGGTTTAAGTTTGGTTTTCCTTCAGGTTGATGCATTTTCTATGGGTGGTCCTAAACTTTTGTAAATGGCTGTAGTTGCAGACCCAAAAATGGCTGTTTGATCAATGAACTGTCATTTAAGAAGGACCGATTCTGGGCAAAGTTGCCCTCTTGGTTATTTCATTCAAGTGACTGTTTTAATCACTTCAGAGTCCCCTGACAAAATACGATATATACAAACAGAACTGACTAGCTTTGACTTAGATGTAACTTGATATAGCTGTGCTTTGTCTGTTGACTGATAAACTGTGTCTAGGAGTCCTCCTTGGTAGAATTTGACTTGTCAAAGTACCAACCAGAAATATGACCTATGCTGTCAAAAACTAGCCTGTTTACAAAGAGTTGCAGGGGAAAACGAACAAAATTTCTGACCGTCCGTGACTGTCATGAATGAAGGAGGGTTTGACTGAATCATTTTTTGAAATTCCGAGCCTTCTCACCCGTCCAGGTCTTTCTCCCTTCCCCTCCCTTCCCCATCCAGGCTCCCCCTCTCCGAGGTCAGCTTCTCCTCCTCTTGCTTGATCAGCTCCTGCACCTCGTGGTGTTTGCGCAGGAGAGCCTCGTACTCATCCTGCTCCGAGGGGCCTCTGCTGTCCCTCGACTCCCTACCAAGGCCCTCCTTGGCGTGCGGCCGTCGTCGTGTCCGCTTCCGGCTTACTGCTTGCACATGTGCGTCAAGGGGTTGATGCCGACGTGATTTTCTCCCACAGGAGAGGGAGACAGAATGGAAAATCAAATATATCGGTGCCTTGAGGCTTTGCCCTGAAGTACCCATCAAACGCCTGTTAACCTTAACCCCCAGGGTGTAAGTAAAACCTTATTGAAATCAGATAATTTGGCACTGTTAGGGATAGCCCCTGTGTAATCTCAAGGTATAAACCCGCAAAATTTTTATTCAACATTTGCAATTTTGATGTTGCTCAACTGTGCCAGTTTTTGCAAATATGCATTAAATAAAAGACATACACAAATATATATACATGTACTTGTATGTTACATTAGATGATTACATTAGGAATCATTTTGATTTGCTTGTTAATGATAAAACATTTTTGTTTTATTCTTAATTTTATACTAAATTCCATTCCGAATTTCCAGTGAGTGCAACAATGTACATGTTTACACGATGTCATTCTCACAGATGCCCAGAGCTGATATACAAAGGATACACTGTCTTGTCTGTTTGACAGAGTCACTCCTTGGTAACCTTCGTTCACTCAATATGTCTTCTACATCCTTGCTCATTTCTCTCCGTCTCTTCACCAATGTGCCGCTTTCGCTCGACACATTGTGAATACCTCCCCCAAATTCTCTGCTCTCTAGCGACCTCTTAGTCTTACTAGTGTGCAAAGGATCTAGCATTTGAGTTCCACCTGCTGAACTTGCCGGGTATTTGCCACCCTGAGGACGGTAGTAGTAGTTACTCGACGGTCGTGGAAAATATCGACTTGACCGCGGGGGATCTCCCCTGCGGAAGAAGGTCTTTTGCGCAACGTTCACGGACATCAACGACGGAATGTGTTTCTTTGGGCATGTCGGAGTGGAAGCTGGCACAAAGTGGTCATTTTCTGACCCCGTTTCGTCCTCAATCTCTCCGTCTTCCAGCTCACCTTCCTCGGACGCCTCCATCGTCTGACCCTGTGAAGTGCCATTTTTTTGGGACATTATTGGAAAGAAGAAAATGGCAAAGTATCTTGGTAATGACAGAATGTGTCCCTGTCAGGTTGTTCTGCTCTGTCACGTCTGTAGCTAATGAGAATTTAGTCTGGCTTCCAGAATAAGCTGTGACCAAGGATAAATGTAGTAATCTGCAAATATTTCTTATCAAGTCTGGGTACAAGATTTCACCGACTGAATGAGGGCGCTATCACAAGCCATATCCGTGTCACTTGGCTTCAGCCGGCTATAACAAGTGTGGGTATACATATCGGTATGGGTGCGAGCCACCGACTTGCGGTTGCAGGTATTTCCTATAGACTTATACGTAAACTGCTAGTCGTAGCCAAGTAATAGGAACGGCCCTGAGGTTACACTTGCGAGAACGTTCGGAATAAAAATGAACCATTTTTTTTTATAATGACAGAAGGGTATTTTGGGGGCTTACTTCATTTGACTTCCTCCAAAAGGGATGTCCCAAAATGTAGTCTCCCCCCTAAGAAAGGCAACATAAAACGTAACAATACGGACAAATTTGCATCCCCCTCAAGTCAAAAAAGCCAATTCCCCGGACAAAGAAGAACAAACAGAAGAAATGAAAAGGTAATAGTATACACTCCCCATTACCTACTTGAGAATAAATAAAAAAAAAAAACAAAACAAAACAAAACCGAAAAGAAGTACTGCAAAATATGCACTTCGTTGTAGTGGACGAGGGATGATCTGCAAATCTCCCTCCTTGGGGTAGGTCTACGGGTACGGCTACAAATTTTTGGAAATCGCGGGAAAATGTTGGACAAAATTTAATGTAGGCCTACAATGATTTGGTCTGGCATTTCGGTTTTTTTCAGCACTCTGTACGCACTTCTTTAATAAGCAGGAGAATGTTATCTGAAAATGCGATTCCCTACAAGACTTTCCTTTACGTAATTGGCCTATGGTGAGCCCCCTTACGGTTACAAGGCGAACTAAATATATCGCATATGAAAGTAACGCCTTGGGTAGAGACTAGCCCCCCCCAGCTAGCTGTGGAGCAGACGGTAAACAAACTGAGTCAATTTCTGGCTGGGAATCTTTGAGTAGGAATATTCTCACCCCTTATTTAAAAAAGGGGTACTTCAATAGCTTCGAGATAAATAATGGTCTTCTTTCATGAATCTACAGTGGATCGTGAGTACATTTCAAAATTGCCCTCTGCCGCCCTCTAACGACACGATTGCGGCAGAGAGAAATTGCATTGTCAAAAAAGTTGCGCAAGCGTTGTACCTCCATCATTATCAATCACTTCACTTCAGCCAAAACGTGACTAAAAACAATCGAGATCCTCCAAAGAACAATTCAATAATGGCCTGGGTAACATTTTAACGAAACCGTTTAATGATAAATAAATCTAAATGTCCGTTTACATCATTGATGAAAATGATTTCAACAGATTCCGCTAACCGACTGTGAACGCTACAAAAGATAAACAGACTTTTCTAAATTACTGTTTACGGTTTTACTATTCAGCATGGGCGTAAATCCCTGGGGATGGGGGTAAATATATATTCCCCTATGTTTTTGAGGTGGGGACATGGTCTGTTGAATCATCCCGTCTTTTTTTTGCCATGAGCCAAAAATAAGGGACTGTGAAGAAAATGTAGGATTTCTCAACAACTAAATTGATGGCAATGTCATTAAAAGGTGAAAACCATTTTAACAGCCATAAATACGCAATTCTGATATAAGATGAATTTGATACACATTGCAGATGTGCATCTTTATCATGAACATTGCCCTCTATACAGTATATAATGGTGTAGCCCCTCCCCCCGCTTTTCAAATTTCAATGGCCAGGCAAGTCATCCCCCCACCTGTCCCCACCCCATCCTCCCAATTTCCAGATTTACACAAATGCTATTCAGGTATATTCAAAGGCATCCTAGCGCAGGCTCCGCCATAATTAATTAACAAAAGAAAAGGAATTTCAACCTTAATAACGACAGCTTACAGTTCACCCCACAACCATTAAGAAAACTCGAAAAAGCATTACACATCAGTATCACGAAGCAGGCTTACACGATAGGTTAAAATAGATTCGTAAAACTCATTTTGTAAAGTGCAAATACATTTAGATAACACCTGAACTTGAGACGAGTTTGTTGGCATTGTTCTACCGGACAGATCGCGGGATGGGCTTAACTGTTGGTCAGTTTGCGTGACGAGTTACCAACCTTGGGAAAGAGTCGTGCAAAAATGAGACAGGTGATAGATTTTGACCCCAGTGGCACGAAGGGCAGGTCGGAGAGGGGCAATGGCCATCTCTAGCCCCCTACTTTTATTTGTTGGGGGAAAAATAGAAGGTGAATTTCTTTTTGTAAGTTTCATTTCCCTTTTTTTTCCGAAATCGTGTACTGAAAAAGCCTAAACCACGTGAAGAGCCATAAAAGTTTACCCGAAGCAATTTCCAATTGGGTCCAGTCATCTCCCCAAAGTTGGTTCCGGATCTGCCCAAGAGTGGGCAAGTAGTTGAGTAGCAATTGCCTTACATTGTACAGGACGAAGAGTGGAGAGTTTTTGAATCCACTAAGGCAAGCTAACAATTTTAGTGAATTTTACGGTGAACTCGGTTGAAGAAAGAGGAGCAATGTCAACATTTTTGACGCAATGACTTGTGTTTCATCTTATTGTTAATAAATCAGAATTTACATAACGCTAATCGTTCTGAAATCCAACTATACGGTGTTTCCACCACCAATTAATTATGTCTAGTTTTAATACCAACGAATCCAAATAAGTTCAACACATTTGCCCTATTACATTATTCTCTTCTGTTTTTTAAAGGCGTGCGATTAAAATCACCACTGCCCGTCATCTCCTTTCATGCGACAATCTAATGTCTCGTTCTTGAAAGAAGTACTCTTTCTGATTTAAGGTTTGGCGGGCGGGCTACCTGAGAGAATTCGGACCAGAATGTTGCAGTAATCGCCACTGGTGTCGTCCTTGACGAAGCTGCTCAAGGACTGGCCATACTTGGCCTGAAACTCGTCCTTGATGTTAGCAAGGTCGATCTAGGTGAGGAAAGAAAACAAACAAACAAATAAACAGGAAAATGCAATGATTGAAAAAATAACTTGGCACAATAGAAAAAAGTCGTCACTGTGAGTGAGAACTATTGAAAGTGAGATCAAAGAGCCCTAGGCCTAAAGAATAAAATCCACGACTTGTAAATCAGGATAGAAAAACAATCTTTATAAACTCATAGATACCACATACAAATAACGACTTCACTGAAACATAATAGGCGAACAGATTCGAAAGCTTGACCCCGTTTGATCCCCGTAATTTTGGCCACCGTATATCGCACTGCAGACACACACATTTTAGGGCGTCAGTCAGTTGAGATCTCCAATTTTCTATTCAAAATTGTTCCTAAAACTGCTGGAGTACATTGAGAAGAGAGAGAGAGAGGAAAGCAGAATCTTTCGGCTTAGTCACAGAGGTAAAGTCGTGAAGGGAGTGGCTGTCGTAATGATGACAGAGAAAAGGCTACAATGGTTGCCCACCTCGGATCGCGAGATCAGGGTGCGGATGAGACAGCTGTCATCCGTCCCCATCCCCTTCATGGCATGGTGCAGTCGGTCGGCGTAGAATTCGACCAGTTCACCCTTTGCTGTCTTCACTGAAAGAGACAGATAAACAAAGGATGTTTGTTACATAGCAAAACAGCATCCCGAGGGACGCACAGCTGGGTATGCGTGCACATGTTCTCAACAAACAGCGTGAGGTGCGCAAACTCATGCACGGAAACTGCACGCACTTGTTATCTAAACTAAAAGCGTGAGGGGCACATCATAAAAGGTGCAAACCATAGTGCGAACTCATTCAGGCAAACTTTGCTGTGAGTGCTTTTCAGGGCCGGTCGAACTTCCCCTGTCACTAGTAGAGGAGTGTTTATAATGTGCCCCCATGTTTTTGTCCCGTCCACTACTTAACTGGATCCCCTCCCAACCTTTGGAAATAACCCAAGTTCACGAAGTTACCTCACCAGCTTTGTCACTTTAATATAAGCGCGCTTGCCCAGAAATACTCAAGACGGCTCGGCTCTCACTGAGGGTGCGTTCGAGCGCGCGTGTTAACAAGAGTTAACTCCTGAGCGCTCGAACGGCTGGAGTAAGACCTGCGGATCAGCGAGCGTACACTCTCGTTAGAGAGGAGTACTCCTCCACCCGAGTGTACTTTATGCGCCCGCATCCTACTCTTGTTAACAGGAGTAACCGCGGCGAACACACCCTAAATTTCTCAAGAGTAGGCCTTGGTTCTTGTAAGAGATGATTGCTTACCGAGAGCCAAATAGCCATCTATCGCATCGCTACACCTCTCCGATTCTAAAGCTCGTTGGATGCCCCCCTTCTTCGATTTCTGTAAAGGAAACGGTGGACAAACTTTACTAAAGGAAATATTGTGCAATACAATGCAACGGAAAAATGTGTTGTATAGATGACTTCAAGTTACGCAACTGTCTTCACAGTTCAAAATACATGTTACGATGGCACTCTACAGGGGTTGAATGTTCGGTTTATTGGGAAAAACACCGATTTGCTGTCAGTCCTGAACGTCAACTTTGTTTTTTTTTTGCTTTACAATATCATCTTAATGGAATCGTTAATGAGACTGTGTTCTGTCGTGCGTAGCTCCTGAGGTACGGTCAAGACAATCATTAATTGATTAAAAGACAGCTGACACAGAATCCTAATGAGCCCCGAGCTGGACCAAGAGAAGGCGCACTTTTCTGAGCACCGGAGGCTCCTTTGGTCGGAACTGAATTTTGCTGGTTTATGAACGACTAGGAAATGCACGCTTCATAGTCGCATGGCTATCTACGTTCCCCACCAACATGGCTCTTTTCAACCGATGAGGGAGTGCTTCTGCTCTAGGCAGACAGGGAAACTTTTTTTTGGGGGGGGCGGTCACAAAACCAGTCAGACTGAGTTAAGCTCGGAGACCTGGTCATAGAATTTGAACGTGGCCAAGTGGAGCTGGATGAGAGGGCGGGTTGCCAGGATTTCAATGAACTTGTCGTCGTCAAGGGAACCACTTGGGCGTCCTTCCCCTGCCTGGAAACGGTAAGAATAAAATAGAGACGGGTGAAACTAAACAAATGACTGACAGTGTAAAAAAGGCTTATAACTTGCTGGGATCGTTGACTTATGACATATGGGGTCAAATCGTAGGGTCAGGGGTTGAAACCCTGACGCAGCCTTGTTCTACAATTTGCAAAATAGGAAAGCGGAGGCGTGTTAAATAGGAAGGGTTGAGTGCAAAATTTACAACAGCGTCAAAACGCGTACAATATACGTAACACATTGGAAATGAAGCAATACACGCTTGTTTCGAAATGCATAATATTCTAACATTCCCGTCGGAAGGTACTCTTGCTAGTTTGGCCTCCGGTCTTTAGCAGCTCACGGAAATATGGAAAATGGGTCGTTTGCTAACCTTAAACAGCACATCTGCGTCCTTTCGGGCCTGCGTCTCTATATCAGCACTAGGTTCCTCATCACGGTTTGCCTATAAAGTAGTGACACATGATTCCATGTAAACATTATTCCATATGTAAATTAACTGCCACACGGAATGTGTCATTTATGCTATTTTGGGAAGTAAACTATGTAATAAGTTCGAGTCACAGAACTCCAGAACATCAATGGATAATTATACTCGACAAGATTCCTTGCCTAAATCTTTTTGCCTTGGTCAAAATACCCGCTGTCTTATGAGGCAATTATTTCTCAAGATTGGTGTCAATTTTAGCCAAGTAAACGAAAGGCTGTGGTGACTGCATGCTTGATTGTTTCCGTTGGAAGAGCATATCCTTGAAACGTTTTCATGAAATGCTTTGTGAAGACATCCGTCATTACAAACAGCAGGCTGCATTTTGTTCCTGAAGAAATGATCCGAATTTGAGTTGCCTTCCAAAATCAATTGGAAGTCAACCAGTTGTTACATAACAAGTCAAATCTAGGGTCAATATTTTAAAAATATGAATAACAAGTCTCTTAAAAGCAGCCGAGGATGATCACAATGAAACCGTTGCTACAACTGACCAGCGCGTGAGGCACCATTTCAAAATTCTTATCGGGTAGGTATCGGACAGAACGGTCCGACCGATACATTTATTATCGGCTGGCTATCAGGTTAAGTGTTCTCAAGAGTCCAATTCTAACTTATAAATGCCTTTTCATTGCATTACTTCCAAGGCTATGTGGTTTCAGTGGAGCAACACCCCCCTCCATTATTCACTCAACACCAAGTGACTGTTATCGATCGGATGGCCCTGTCCTATAGTCAACCGACGGGAAATTTGAAATGACGCCTAACTTGAATTATAGACGACGCATGACGACTTGAGTGCAAGGCGTAAGGTTAATAAAACACCAAACCTAGTGGTCCCTGCTTCACGAAATCTCTTGAGCGGGAAACGATAAACTTACGGCAGCCACGGTCAGGAGAAGTTTCAAGAAGGGATCGCTGGTGTCCTGCTTCAGCATAGTCTCCAAATCAACATTGTAAACTGTATCAGTGGAATAAAGACTGAGTAGTATCCAAAACAACTGCCAGTTAAACAAGCCAGCCAGCCTGCCAACACTTGACTGACAAGCCGTCAAAAGCAGATCTAAGGGGGTGGGGCAACCTTTCGGGAGGGGGGTTGGGAAATTATTTCAGGGTGAGGCTACATTTTGGAGGAATTTTATAAGCTTTCGGGTGGAAGGGAAATCAATCTGACTCACTAAAAATATAATATATTTTATGGCTCTGTTTTGGGCTACGACCCCCCATCTGCCTCTGCCATCCGTCCAGTCAACATGGCCAACAGACTTTCTGAAGAAAGAGGACATAGCCCCAAAACTGTGAGGCGACGGGCTGACACAAAGTAATCATTAATACAACTCTGTGGTTTGTGAAACAAAACATTTCACATTTAAGTTATGAAAAAATAAATGTGATAATTGAAGTTTTTACTCAAGTGTCTCTGTAACCGTCGATGATTTCATGTTTCTTTTAAAAAGAAAACACACGGGTTGGTTTGCGTTGAATTTCTAAATCACATCCTCAGGAAGGAGAATTGATGTTAAAAATGAAGACTTACTATCTTTGAAGGTTTCTTTGATGGCAAGAGTTTCCTATCAGGAAAGGATGAGAAATTATGAAATTAATTATGCACGAAGTACGAAAAGTGTGTCGTCCATTATGGCAATTATAATGCTAGTGGCAAAGTTTGCAATGAACAGGATGGAATATAATACAGAGAAAAGGTACAGGTGCAACTTCACAAGAAACATCAATCAACTTGGGAAGTACAGAAAAAAGGCGACACGGCACCATTCAAGTATTAAATGGGATATGTAAGTGAACATCACTGAATGCTTTACCACGTTGCGGTTTCTGGTGCAGAGCACATCGACCAAAGCCTTTTCGTCCGTCCCGAGGCCCTGAAAGCAAGGAATTAATCAAAGAACACTGAACAAACAACAGTAGGCCAGACGGGTTCCGACCACGCAGATGCAGGAAACGTGGACGCAAAATCAGTAGCAAGTGCTCAACGTAGTTCAACAAAACGATATCAATCCTTTGGGCGCACGCGTGAGAGACCAGACAAATGGTACTAAACCTTAGCACAAGACTATTTATACTGTTATATTTCCAAATAGGTCACTTGGGAGACATTTTGTGGTGAATTTTTTAACATTAGGGAGACATCGGCCATTAGGGAGACATTTCAATGTCACCCTAATGCTCCAATTACCAAAAGGAGGAAATTTTTTAACGTCCACATTTTGAGAGATGATAGATTAGGGTCTGAAAGGAAAATATGCAAAGTCTGGTTAAGATCCGATCAGGGAATATTGAATTATGGGACGGTAAAGTTTGAAAAATTTCCTATGGGAATGTCCCCCAAGTGACCCATTTTCGGTAATTATTATCACCGAAATCATAAAAAACCTGACAAATATATGTTCTAATGACGCAGCCTTACTTTTCGAAAAGTGCCGTCACTTTTTTTTAAAAACAGGAATAACACTTCAGGACACAGATTCAGAGATTATCAAGGTTCGTGAAGATGACTTTTGATTACCTTCATCGCTTGGTACAGGCACCGGGCCGCAAACTGCAATGAATCGTCTAGTAGACCGACCACCACGTCCTGAAATTTGCCCGAAGTCACGTCGCAGATGGCTTGCATCAGTTCCTACATTCGCACAGGGAACCAAAATGCTCCGTATGAGGCAAGTGATAGGGAAGCTGCATTATAAAATTCCTGCAGAAAAATGGCGGACGTAAAAGCGGGACACTTGTATAACGTCTTTGTAAAGCTCTTTTCTGGTTAACTTTCAGGTAATATATTTGTTTAAAAAAAATGACGATTTCTCAAATATCGTGAGGGAAAAGAGAGAAAAAAGCCGTCGGACAGATCTTTCAAACCCCCGCGCTTAGTTCAGAAAATGAAAAAAGATAATGACGCCATAATCATATGCAATGACCTTCTGACGTCACCTTTGGGAGTCACATCACTGGTATGGACGCGTCGCTATGCTGGTTATGCTGCACTGGCACGTTGCGGTAGCCGTCAGTCCATTATTCAATTTTTTTCCGATTAAAAGAGCGAAAAATAACATTCCTCATATAACAGAATGAGCCAACCATGACACAGTCTTGTGTGGTTGGCGGCTGTGCGGCCAATGCGGCCCCAAAAATCCTGGCATATGTTTCTTTTCGTTTCCGAAAGCGGAATCGAGACGGCTGGGCCGGGTCAAATTTGTGAGGAACACGAGATCGGCCTTAGTGCTCACGAAATGTTCAAAAAGATGCCCTGACCATTTCGAGGAATCTTCGAGGAAGAAACAGCATGGCCTAAAAGCAAAGGAAGGCGAAAGCTGCAACGAGCAGCTGTCATGACGGCGAACATTTGTGTCCAGTTTGCCCGTGTCATCTCCATAACGCCGCCCTCAACCTAAATTCTCTCTATGACGGCTTGGTGAATTTCAACGTTATCGTCATAAATTTCCCACGAAAGAGGGCCGTAAACCAGACGGATTTGATACAGACAGGAAAAACACTCCAAGAGATGTATTTCTCGGGTAAAATTTGAAGTGTAACGATACGCAAATGAAGTCAGCCACTTGGATATGTAAGGAATCGACCGAGGAACCACAGCTGTTGAACGCATCATCACCATCAAAATTAATCATGTCACTGTCTTTTTGGCTTCTTTCTGTCGGTATAATGATATCGTCGCCACTCTTCCGCGGTCAAAATAATTTTGATGAAATTAAAAGGGGCGGGGATTATAATGAGAATTTTGTCTTACTAGCGATGCTTTAAAAAAAAAAAAATTCAGTAAAGCTGTCCTGCTTCTCACACCCAACAACATTACCCTGGATTTCAAGGGACTTGATTAATAAAGCGCGTCAAAACGTCACACTAGAAGCGCTGCACCAGATTCCCAGGGACGAGTAAAAATGTACTGCCCAGCTGCACCGCAGACATCGCAAACACTGCCCTACACTTCCAGGGACGTGGAAACTGCGGGAAAACACTCACCCTTCCCGTCGCCTCCTTGTAACCCTCTCGGATCTCCTGGCGCTGTTGGTTGCTCCGGCGGACTAGAAAGTCCGCCAAGGCCGTCTCGCAAGAAGCATTTCCTGCAAAAAAATTGTTCAAAGACGGGAGAGAAGCAATCAGTGACCACAAGCTATTTTTGGACCTAAAAATATGGAATTGAAAGTTTGATGGAGCGGTTTTAAACTAGCACGTTCCAATTTGAATGGGGGGGGGGCAGGGGACAACAACGGACCGAGCCAAAGGTGAAGTCCATTTTTGGCGCTCTTGCCTGACTTTAATGCAGGCCTACACTATTAAAAGTTTCTAGTTGCACTGTTGTTTTCATTCACAAATATCTTTAACTCCACAAAGTCAAATAAATGTCAGAAAGTGATTGATTTCATTCCAGATTGCCACATTATGTTTTGAAACACCCCTTTCGCCATGCATATCTGCGGTATTTGCCCCTAGTGCGCAATGCCTAAATCTCCTTAAAATGGCGCTTACACATCACGCCGCACTGTGCGCATGGCCACAGAAAGCAGCAATGGTTATCTTGCTTCATTTAAGGCAAAAATTACGACTTACATATTTCATGGTGGTGCTTTTCAATATTTTGCCCATTCAAGCAGACCAAATTAAACTACAACTCCAATACGGCCACAAGCGCTCAGTTATGTTGTAATGGACAGGAGTGATGGTAAACGGCTCACTGGTCATAAGACATTTAATTCGCTTTCTTGTGTTTTGTCCCGCAGGTTCAGACGCAGATCCAGGGAGCAGATGTATAAGCAGCAAGCGTGTATGATTCAAATCCCACTCATGTATTCCAAGCACCACAGTTGCACAGAAGTAATGAGGTGCTCGAACCTAACAAGAGTTGCATGTCCCAGGAGCTATTTCGATGTGGAGCCCTGTACAAGAACCTTGCACAATGTGGGCTACACAATAGTGCATCCAACAGGGGGCGCCCCCACACGGATTTTTTGTGTGCGTGCAAATGACATACTTCATAGGTGAGTAGGAAAGAAGTAATCAGTATATTTATTAAATATTAGCACCAAATACCTAAGGAAACAACACCAGCACATAAAGGCAGGGATGTTGGGACCGTGAGTAAGGTTTTTGACTTTTTCTCCGCAACATCATGTTGACTGAGCCCGAAGCCGCATTCGCTTTTGAACCCCCCCCCCAAAAAAACAAGCTGGATACGCCGCCAGGCCTACATCTAAGAGAACCTGACCATTTCTCATGCTTTATCATGTCTATTTTTGTCTGGACATCGAGATGAGTGACATACCAGAACGGTGATACATCAAAAGAAAGCTCACTTCACTCTTACTATTACCCAACTAAATACAAAATTGCCGTAAGGTGACCTCAACATCCATTTCCTGGGATGCGGTCAAAATTTAACGAATCTGTTGGTACCCCCGCCCAAAGAAGAACAGGTGAGCCCAACACAAAACCTGCACCATGCTTCCTATCCGGGCGCTGTTGCTGCAGCACCGTGGTTATGCACTGCCCATTCGGACATTATGCGATCATTTTGAACAACGACTGGCAACGGCCATTAGCTGACACCGGCTGAATCTCTGATGCGTCCGCCGCACTGGCACATTGTGGCTGCGGATGGCAAGTAGCACGCAACGCCGTGAAAGGCATGATCTAATGGCTCTTGCCACTTCCCATAGTGGCACGTAATGCCCCACACTTAGCCGGCCTAATCGCGGATACACTTCCACTCTGCCAACGCGTGCCATGCTCACGTGGAGGCAAATTCTATCCAATGAGGGCTCGAAGAAGTAACGTCATGTATCCAGAAGAATCGAACGCTACAACCTCGTTCGCGGTGTGAAGAGAAGTGCGCCTGTATACCGCTACCTGCTTTTCACCTAGGTATTGGATCACGTGCATATCCCGTATGTTATAATGAGGAATGGTCTGTTATCTGACCATGCAGTTTAGTATGCATTGTCTGTTTTAAAATGTCAGCGTAACATATTCAGGAAACAAAAATTAAAAATCTCTTTCAGTCACATTTTTATATAAATAGATGTTTAATCAAAATGCAAAATGGAGAAAGTGGATATATAATAATTCACAGAAATATGGAAACATGTTGAATTCATTAACTTTCAGTTTTTTATCAGAGTAGTATGTGTTTTACTACACTTTTTAGTGTTTTTTTTATTTTAACTGCCTGTAATTTTAGCATTTTAATTACTGTTTCTGTCTCGGTGTGTAAAATTATATATAATACGGCCTTTTCACAATAGTGCGCCACCAAGAGTTTGCAACGCGTTAGCCAATCACAAAGCGCGAAATTTGTCGACCCAGTGCGCGTTTGGAAAGGGTCGACAAATTTTGCGCGTTATGATTGGCCAACGCATTGCAAACTCTTGGTGGCGCACTATTGCGAATCGCCCGTATTATATGATTTTATATAATGACTGTGGTGTTGGAGGAGGAGGCCTCTGGGCTACAGTCATTCAGTTGACTTTTTTTCTTCTGGCATCTATAGCAGGCACTGTTTTGTCCTTGTCTTGACTAGTGAATAGTATTGTTTGTGCTATTGTTCTTGATGCTAAATAAATGAATAAATAATAATAGTAATAATAAACACCGAATACACGACACTACAATCATTGCCTTAATTAGTGCTGCTATATCGATTCAGGATACAGGAAAAAAGTTTCCTCTCCAGGTTATATAATTGGACGCAAAGCTGGAAATAAAGTAACACCAGGAAACGAGGTTGTTTTACCAATGCCCCTGTTTTATCAGCGAAGTGTCTTTTTATGCTTTTTATGTGCAAGCCTCGCGAGAAACAATTCAGTCAGTAGTGAAAGGTCACATTGGCATAATATACGTACGTAACATTTGTTGCAGGGCGGCCACATCTGCTGCTTTGTCAAATGGCTCGATTCCAGTAATCGTCCCCTGCGTGATTGAAAGAAATGTATGCAGCGATTTAGCAATTTCTCGGCTGGTAAGTTGTCAGCAGGTTAACAGTAAACCATAGGGGCTGTCAGCGCGAGTGAGCCTTACGGGTCCTTATTTTCCATCGTGTAATCTGCTGATCCACCACGTCCAAGCGTTGAAATGAAAATAACTAAACCGTGTGGGCAGGTGAAGTCAAAACTTGTCTATGTGCACGTCGGCAAATAGCTGCTTAGTTCGACAGTGCGACTTCTACGAGTCGACAAAATTGTAGCATTCAACATTCAACAAAGAACAGCCAGATTTTGATACCTTGTCGTCCGACCCAGCAAAGAGTTAGATATTTAGCTGCCTTAACGGTAACGTATGGAAAACGTTACGCGTAGCTTGAAAAGGTAAATTCAGCAGTAGGCCTATATATAAAGTTTCAAATCAGTGCTGAAATATTACAATTATAATGAGTACACGCAGTGGTTAGGTGCATCCAGTTTTCGAAGTTGTACCCCCAAAGCGAGACAGAATGTAACGTATCAAGTGCCTGGTCTTGTTTTTAACCACTGGACTCTATTTGATTAATGTCCATAATGCACGGTTGAACACCTTTTAAGGCGCTATTCGGTATGCGCGTTTTCAGTGCATCTTGAGTCCGTATAGCGTTAATCGAGGCGAGTGTTGGTTCCTTGAAATTGTAGAGTGAAACGCAGCAACCAGCCACAAGACAGACCCCAAAAGTACAGAAAGGCAGCCTTAAATGTTAAAAAAAATGACAGTGACAATCTGTGGCTTTACAGAAAACAGAAAAATTGTAACTGTTAAATATCATCACACACAAAGGGTGAACCTACCTGAAGTTTCTTCTCTTGACCCGGAGGGACGTTTCCCGATTTCGTTTGAGTAGTCATTTTAGTTCTTGGAAGCAGATGCCTCTGAACACAGAGTCCCGATCGAGATTGGAGGGTTCGACTGTGAGCACCACGGCACGGGCAGTGAATTGCAGGCAGCGCGCGCCGCTCATTTTGTACCGGGGCGTTCCTTGGGGATCCCAGTGTATTCAAAAATATGCAAATATTGTGCCGTCAACTGGCCAATCAGTTCACGTAATTGATCGTTTACGGCAAGAGCTCGGAATTTCCCAGGGTACGTAAAATTATGTCATTTTGAACAGCGACTTCGCCCTCTTTTTGCATATTCAGAAAAAAAAAATTCACCCTAATTTGAAAACGTTGGTAATTCTTACTGTAAGTCTCCAAAACTGAGATTGGTTTTAAGGTTTGAAATGGAAAGTGTTGATACATTAGTAGTCACTCCACAATGTCTTGTCTTCTTTGTACACGTTGTTTTATGGTAAATATTGGTGTTTTACCTATTGAAGAATTTTTTCCGCTCCATATCCATTCCGCAGTAAATTTGCCATATAAGGTCAGTGATTTATAAGTATCACGGCTCGAAGCCAACAGTTTACATGCTGAAAGATTTACTCTAAAGTTGGAAACATTGAAAGCTCTTTTAAAAATATGTCTTGGGTTTGGACACTGGAAATGATGAGAGGCATTTCTTCAAGACGTACCTCCAAACGGATCTGGAACATAATGCCTTCACGTACTCTTCTTCTTCTTCGCTGATTTACACAGTTTATCAAACTGATTTATACCGTTT